CCCAAATCGATTACTTAACAGGGAGGATTATCTAATTATCGAGAGAAACAACTACTGCATTACACGTAGAGACTGAGCACCATAAAGCAGTTCAGTTTCAAATCTCTGTTCCAGAGCCTAAATCGCAGGTGGGGGACTACACTCTTCTTCTGAATATTAGTGTAATTGCACCTGTATTATTCCAGAAAAGGAACTTCTTGGCCTTATGGACAATTCATAATTGCGTCAATAGTATCAGAGAAGACTGCACCATCCCAGTTTAGAAAGCATATGTTACATCTGGACAAAATCCATCCATTCGCCATATTTTTGAGCAGTTCCTCAGCATTTCTGAACACATTCCTCTCCATACCATTCACTCCCACCATCACTCCAACACGGCAACACTCATCACCTTTCTCACGTAGGACTCATTTACTGAGTGCTTTACTCTTGACCTACAAGTCTCCTGGGTACCTCTTTCAATGAAGGAAGCCCAATGTCTTATCATTTCATCTCTTCCCAGTATACGTGCAACCTGGATGGACTTGAAACATTATTAGGGCTTTGACATTTGGTAGCTCTGTTGACTACTCACAAGTCTATTCTCAAGAATAACTAAGCACCTTTAACTAAGTTAACTACAGGCACCCTATAGCTTCGTCTGATCTCAAGTGTAAGCGTTGCTGTACCTTCAATTTTTTTAAGCATAACTGAAGGCTTTTAGCTTAAATGTTGTTTAGTCAGCAAAAAGGAACATTAAATAGAAAATCTAAACCCCGATTCAAAATGTAGGGTTCTTATATTTTTCAGCCTAGATGTCCATTCAAATGACAAAAATAGTGTCAAATGGACTAAAATTTGTGTGGCCTCAAACTTAAGAATAGAAATAAAAATTTCAGAAACATATACTCAGAAATAACTCCTTACATGATGCCCTGCAGCCATCTTCCTCAGAGCTTCATACGTGGCCCTAAAGCCAACCTACTGCTAATCCTAAGCACAACCTCATGAAATCCTGTTCAGCATCCAACCTTGCAAATCCGCATGGGAGGGCCACAGTTCAGCTCTCCTCAAACCCTTTCACAGCACCATATAGGCCACGTTGCCACCCGTTACACCAGCTCTTCTCCCAAAGCCAAACACAGACCCACAGCATGTCTTCTCCACCAGCTACCAACCGCATGCCCGCTTCCCTCCAAGGCAGGCAGAGGTGCACATACACAGCCTCACAGTCAACAGCCTTCCAGTCCATGTGCTGCTCCCCGACCCTCAAGGTGTTGTTGGCTATTTAAGTCCCAACAGATGGCTTCGATCCACAAAATACCAAAAGCACGGCTGCCTTATCACAGATGTAACAGACTAGGTGGGGAAGAGAGGAAAAAAATGAACCTGTTTTGCATCCTCTACTGTTTTTGCATCATAGACTCTTGAACAGAAGAACAATGATTCATGTCAGCATTTAAAAGTCACATATGGTATGGGGGGGGCTCTATGAGTAGAACACAGTCCTACAGTGAGAAGAATGCTTGAACCGGTGGTTATTTCTCCCCAAGCAGCACCAGCTTTCTCAGTGCTTTAGCAAGAACTGCTATAGGATGAACTGCACAACATCTTCACTCCACGACCTGTGAAAGTACATGATTCATAGACTGGCTGCACCTGCCAGGATGTCACCAGCTACCACAATCTAAATGGTGCACGAAAGGCTGGCAAAACCATAGCGTTTCACCTACCTATTCCTTGTTTTTTCTTTGCACCCTTCCAACTACTTACTGTGCGTAAATTAACTTGTTAACTTGCCAGTTTTCTCCCTCCGCAGTTATCAATTCCTCTTCTCATGTTCTGTGTAATTTTTTTTCAGGCTTCTATCTTTTCTCATATGTTACTGCTTTCTGAATGCTCTTGCAGGAATAACTAGGTAGAATAACAGCTATCCTATGCTGGGCTTAGAGCAAGAGTGATTTATATTTACAGAATCCCCCTAAGTAAAGGGGAGCAAAACCATAAGTATAAGCATTTTTAATGCCCCAAAGCAGTTTGAATTTATGCAGACAGTAAGGGAGGTGAGCATCTTGCCTAACTGCATACGTATGCACCTGTGTCTAAGCTGGTCACTAGATTCTCTTACTAAGCAGCAATGGCGTTGCTGAATCTAAAAAGGCTGTTTCACTCATCTGCTTCCGGCCAAGATCAATGACACCTTGGAAGTGCTGCTTCTCTCCAAGAACGAGAAGGGAAGTTCAGATGTAGATAGCTTGGCTGCCATCATCCGTATTTGGTGGGCTGAATCCTACCATGTGTGCTTGAGCAGCAACAGGAAGAACAAGTTTTTGGATCCACAATAAAGAAACCAAAGGTTAAGATTTATGGTGGAACTTTGACCCTCACAGGAAGCTCCCAACCTGAACTCAGTATTCTTTCTCAGATAAATTATTTCTGTATCTTCTAGCAGGCTATGGCAAGGCTTCTTTTGTTGAAGCTACAACATGTACAAAATGGAGTCCAAGAGCTACAGTGAGAATCTGAGCAAGCAAGTGGAAACATTACTCTCCAGCTTGATGGAGAAGAAAATTCTTCCTTCTAGGTCTGTGCCTCTTGCATCCCTTTCTGCACAGGGATACAGCTTTACAAGCAATGTAGATGGTGCCCTCAGGCAGTATGGGCTGCGAGTACAGGGTGAAACCTCTCTTTCAGGTTCAGCAGGTAACTAACACGGA